TATTTGACTCGCGTCTAGTTTCTTTTTTACTAAAAGTAAGGGAGCATTCCATGGTGAAAAGGAGGGTTCAATAATGTCGTCCTTTTCCATTTGTTTGATTTGAGAATCTATTTCGGCCATTTGCGCGTGTGGTAAGCGATACGGTCGCTTATATATGGGCTCCTGATTCTCCGGTATATTAATTTTATGCGTTAACGTATTTGTATATGTTAACGTGTCCCCCGTTAAATGAAATATGTCTTGGTAATGTTCACATATTTCCAAAATAGTTTGCCTTTGCTCATTATCCATATGATCGCTCCTAATCAATTGTCTTATTTCTTTTATGCGTTTATTTTTATTATCGTCTTGTACTATTGACTGTGTATTATATTCGAATTCATGATCATATCGTATTTTATTTAAATTGCTTAACATAATGCTTTGGGGTTTTTCGGTTATATTTAAAATACTAATTATTACTTCACCGTTCTGTACGGTATTTATTACGCTTCCACAAAATACGCCTTCCATTATTTCTTGTTTGTGAATTAAAATATCTTTACTTTCTACATCCTTTGCAGCTATAGGTATTGATACGATTGTTTCTGATCTTGGGGTTAATAGTAACTCCTTTTGTTTATTTTTGTTAGCATTAATTACTAGAGTTTTATTGGCTAGGTTTATTACAGCGTTATTTTCTGATAAAAAACTATTTCCTAATATACCATTTTTCCTTATTGGAAAGTTTTCGTCAACTAAATTAAATTCGGTGCTAATTTCTTGCCCTTGGATTATCAAAGGTATTGTAAGCTTGCCTATTGTTTGTATTATTTTATCGTTAATTCCTTTTAAATTTACTATTTGTGTTTTATCTACTACTATATCGTAATTTAATATATTGTTTTTTACTATATTTACTTCGCTACCTGTGTCGACTAAAAATTCTAATTCTTCATTTATACAGGCGGGTGATTTACATTTTATGTGATTATTGTTGTTTATTTTCGTTAATATAATGGGGTAACAATCTCGGATGGGTCCACGGATATGTGATTGATCGCACGTGCTCCGGGGGGTACGTGAGATGTCCGCTCGTTTCCCGAGTTTTTATTACGTCGCTCGTCGTTTTGTTTTTTATAGCAGGCGGCTATATTATGTCCTGGTTTATTGCGGTAAGTGCAGGTATCGCTCCTTGCATTATAATTAGTGGGTGGACGTGTGAAATTATTCTGATTGGGTGGTCTACTATTATACGCTACATTGTTCATTCGGCATTGCGATGCAAAATGTCCTTCGCGGTTGCATGTATGACAACGCCTAACATTATAATTATTAGTTCTTGAGTTTGGGTTTCTATTAGTATTCCTATCGTAGGAATTGTTTCTGTTAGTATTATTATTATTAATATTATTACGATAGTTGTACGCTGCGTTTTGATTATTATTGTTATTAACATTATTACGATAGTTGTACTCTGTGTTTTGATTATTATTGTTATATTGTCTATTTTGATTCGTATTCCTATTGCTATACGTATTATTTGCGCGGAAAATTTCTTGTACATCATTGTGAGTACGAATATTTTTTTCGGTAATTAACGCGATTTGCATTGCTTGTTCAAGAGAGGTAGGACTTTTTGTTTTTACTTCAAATTTTATTTGGTCGCTTAAACCGTTTATATAACTGACTAAAGCTTGTTCCCTAATATTGTCACGTAATATTTGTGCTACTGCCGGTGTTTTGTCTATGGCTACTGTGTTACATAGTTTTTGGTATATTTCTTCTACTCTATTGTTGTACGCGCATATGGTTTCATTATTTTTTAATTTTATTATATTTAATTCGATTTGTAAATTAGCTGCGCCATAGGGAGTTTCGAATGCGTCTAATAATATTTTTTTCATATCTTCCCATACCTTAATTTCCTTATATCTGGTTACATTAAAAGCTCTGTCTGACAATTTAGTAGCTGCTATCATTTTTAACATAAAAGGGTGCTGTTCTGAATCTACCGTATTTATGATTACTTCGCATGCATTTAAAAATGGATATATTTCAGTTTGTCCTGAATAGTTAGGAATTAATTTTATTGCGTCTAACGCACTTATGGATTTCCCGTCGGTACTACCTGGCATTTTCTTTACTTTAACTATTCTTTTTGGTTGAATATATTCGGTGTGTATAGTATTTCTACTACTTCGTAACCCTTGACGAATTGCGCTAGTAGTAGGACTATTTTCAAACTCTTCTAGGTTTATTAATCGTAAACTTTTATTTAATATATCACTGGTTATTGGTTTAGTTTCTATACGTTCATTAAGTATTTCTTCACTAAATAAATCTAATTCTTCGTCTAAATTATTTATTTCTATGTTGTCAACTATTTCGCTATCAGTATTGTTTACGTCAATTTCTAAATTACTTTCGTTTTCGATTATTTCAATTATTCTATCTAACGTTTCTCTAGCTATCGTTTCAAATTCGTCATTAATATTTCCTTCTGAACTATTGTTCATTAATATTTATTTTTACTCTAATCCTTTAATTATAATCTCATTTAATATAATCTTAATTGACTTATTATATTTTTTTATTCGATTTGGGCTTTAAATTCGGCTGGGGCTTCTACTCGGGCTGGCGGGCTTTAAACATGGGCTAGGGACTTTAAAACATGGGCTACAAAATCTACACGTGTTCTATACAATGGAGTAGCTAATTCCAAGGGAGTTGTACTTAAATAATAAGATGAACTCAAAAATATGGCCTCAATAATTAATAATAATCTCAATAATAATCTCAATAATGCCCTGTAATAATTCACAATAATTCTCAAAATAATATAAAATACCCTTAATAATTCATAATAATAACTTCTTAATAAATGCCCTTTAATAGTTCACAAAATAATCTTCAATAATAATCAATAATTGCCCTTCAATAATAATCAATAAATGCCCTTTAATAATTCATAAAAATAACTTCAATAAATGCCCTTTAATAACTTCAATAATATCTTCAAAAAATTGCCTCTTTAAATAACTTTTTATAATATGCCCTTCAATAATATTTTAATAATATTTTTATAATATGCCCTTTCTTTAATAATTTTCCCTAATTACGATGGACCAATAGACCAAAGGAGACGGTTATATAAATTATGCTTACAACATTGCTGTATTCATCTCGTTGCTTGATCTCTCTCGCCGTAGTTGGATTGTAACAAACGTTCGGTCTTCCCAGAGTCGTTGAATTGAAGCGTGCACTCCTCAGCTCAACGGTGATCCACGAAGGTGAAGTTGCCTCTGTTGATTGAAGTTGATCCAAAATATTTCGAAAAATATTGTTGAATGATCCTTGTATCTTGGAAGACCCTGTCCACAGCGCCAAAATTCTGTTGCGTCCCAACTGATGTCGATATATACATCAACGTGGAAATGAATACTTGATGCACTTGGTTATTATGAGTATTTATTTAAGTACAAAATTACAATGTATAAAGCTTATGTAGAGAGGTGAGCGGTGTTACGACCTGACTCTGAATTGTTACTAAGATTTTGAGTGGTGTTACGACCTGCCTCCAAAATGATACTAAGACTGTGAGTGGTTTTACGACCTGCCTCCAAGTGTCTTGAGTATCCCTAACCGTCTGCCGAGCTCTTGTCCCGGGCTGGTATTTATATGATCGAGTCCTTTGGAGTGGGTGGTTGTATCAATGGCCAAATTCGGTCATGAGACTGCGTCCGGGTCTCGTACTTGGTATGCTGGTCGACTCGTATCCTTCGTATGAATAGTTGACTTTCCTAGAGAGATACTTTTACAGTGTCCCTAACGTGTTATAATATACTAATTGCCTTATTAATTATATCGTCGAGTACTATTAGAAACCTGCGCTACGTCGTACATTGTTATTACTTAATTACTAAATACGTAGGTACGTAACATTATAAATAGGTAATAATAAAATACTAAACAATCTTAATATATTAACTTATTTATTTATTTCTAATGGTATGCCATCAATGATGTGGTGTATAATTGTTTTAAAATATTCAGAATATATTAAATAGATAATAATAATATAATTAATACTAAACTAATTATTTTTTGTTTTTCCATCAATATTATATAATTATTAGTAATAATAAATTTAATACAAAATATTGCACATAAAATCATTTGTTTGTATTCGCGGTTCAAATTGCCGGGTAGGACCAAATTGATCGATTAGTGTGTAATTTTCCTGATATTCCACATTGCCTGTAACTTATATAAGGTATACGATTTAACATGTAATTTATATAATTCGTTGCTGATACAGCATCAGTTTTCTCAGTTTGTAGTCTTTCAGGAGACACAAAAAAACAGGTATTACAAAACAGCTTTTCTCATGTAATTTATTTTGACAACAATGCCTATCTAAAAAATATCACGTGTTATAAATCATGACTAAATAGATAGGTATGATCACATTTTTACTGATACGCAGATTCCCTTTCAGACCATGTCCATTACTCAGTTCTCGGCTTCTCATTGGTTATTCATATTATCAACACTAGATTATATTTTAAAAATTAATTTAAATAAATTTAAAATTATTATTTTTGAATCTTATAATCTTATAACTTATTAGTTTTGAGTTTATGATTTAATAACTACTTTAGTGATGGTATCAACAACACAGTATCAGGTAATATTTACATATTATAACATTTTTTTAGCCAAAATTATTAGACCAATGAAATAACGAGAACTACAGTAGGGGTTGTGCGCTAGAATGTACGAGAACACGTACTGATGTGATCATACCTATCTATTTAGTCATGTTATAAATGAGATATATTATGTTTCATAGTTCATTATTATTATTGTGAATAAGAGTGTAACCGCTAATTCTACAAGATATTCCCCTGATGAATAAATGTTGGGAATCATTTATTTTATTAATATTGACAATAATCTCAATTTGTCAAATTTTAAGATAGGTGTTGTTGCTGTAATGCATATAGATAAATTTATAAATGTATACTATTAAGTCTTTGGGTCTATTAGTTTGTATTTTATGTAAAATTATTTTCCTAGTTACTTTTAAACTATAGTTGTATATTTATATTTTAATTAAAATTGTGTCCATGGTGTTTTACAGCTAAAGAATTTCAAATATTTGAAGAAGAAAATAACATTTTGCATGATCTAAATCCATTGGAAGTTCACAGTATAGTAAAAGAAAAATTAAGATTAAAAGGAATAAGCCTTAACCAAAAAAGTGTTCCTTCTAATTCAACGCAGGTATGAAGTCGTTGGTTTTGTTTATAGCATTATGATTTGTATCATAAAAAAATGTTGAATTTTGTAGATTCAGAATAGGCAAAAGAATAGTTACAACAATATACAACCAATTGTTGTTCAGTCATCAAATACTTATGCCTACACACAAGTAATTATAAAACTAATTATTATAACGTAAAAACTTTTGATTAATTAAATTATTTTTGTGGATAAATTGTTCAAACTAAACTAATGTTTAGTTTTGAATTTATTTACTAAGAAAAAGTTATAATATTAATGTAGATGGATACTTTTTTATCTGTACTATTTTAGGATCCTTTTGATTTGAGCGAAGTTAGAGAATGTAGTCCAAGTAACAATGAAGTTCAGACTATTTTACAACAACATACTGATCAAGAATTACAGTAAATACAAACATATTATTTATTTTAATAATTATTGTATTATGTAAATTATATTATTGTTATATTACAACATACATAATATTTAACATACGTATTATTATTTAATGTATTTATTTTTTCATTATAATTTGATTTATTTGAAAATTTTTATTTTTAGATACAATTATATGGAAACACACAATGATAATTTTGAAACTGTGAGTAATTATTCTAATGGAATTGATGAAAAAGAAGAAAGCAATTGTTATTCAAGCAATTCTGTGTTCAATGGTTCAGAGATCTCGACAATAAGACGACCCTTAGATAAGTCTGATATAATAGATAATGGAATTGGTAGCCAAATAGACGATATTTTAACAAGCTTACAAGAGATGAACATTCAGTTAAAATGTATATCAAAAAAACAAAAAAAAATTGATAATCAAATTAATGCTGCTATGTCAATAAATTCATCTAGTTTATGTGCAAATCTAGAACCAGCTCTGATGAGTAAATCCAAATCTAATTTAATTACTTGATATACATTAACTAATGGCGTTTTTTAATTATTCTTTATTAAAGATATGGTGAAGAATGCAAGTGATCAATCACATCGGAAACTTCAAATCATGATAGACCATCAGCTAAATACCTCGCATAAGAAAATAACAGAGATTGTCAAAGCCACAAACTCCAATAAAGTATGAAAAATAATAATTAAGCAAACACTAACATTTTTAATAATATAAAAATAATTGCCAAATTAACTAGTCAAATAAATTATAATTTTTTAATTAAGCCGTAAATTATTACATTATTTTAATTTTAAACACTTAAATTATAGATAAAATGATGTAACTTTGTTATATTAAGGGGATTCAATGTCTTGATTTTCTGTTTTTGTCTAACACACCTGCGACATACCAATTGATAATCTAATGAAGCGATAAGAATTCTGAAAACAGATTTGAATTTGTCGTCAAGTGTACTTGAAATCGACTTTCCCACATTTTTGATATTATCCCCCAAATTTTTTAAAATGTCATATTCAATAAGAGTATTTAAAAATTCTGTTATTTCAATTTTTGGAGAAGTTAAAATCAAAAAATGAAAAATGTGGGAAATCAAAGTCAATTTCTAGTAGACTTGACGACAAATTCAAATCTGTTTTCAGAAATCTTATCGCTTCAATAGATCAATTGGAATGTTTGGCAAAAAAACCCGTCTAAAATACTGTCACGCGTGTGTTAGACAAAAATAGAAAATCATGGTTCCCCTTAATGTTAATTGAAAAAAATTACATTCATTTGGTAGTATTTTATTATATTCTATATGACAGCCATACTTAACTTGATCAAAAACCTTATTCCGTTTTAGAGTTACTAATTAATAATTATAAATTGTATTTATATTTATATTTTTAGGTAGATACAGAATTATTTACAAAGTCTTTGGTTGCTTCATTGAATCCAACTCTTGATGCGATTCTAAAAGATCTTTTTATGAGTACAGTTATACCTAAGTTTGAACATGCTTGTTGTTCCATGTTCAAACAAATTGATGCGTCCTTTACTGAAAGATCACTAGAATGTAAGTCTATAAGTAAACCAAAGTAATAAACATTTTAAAAATTTTATTTTCCTTAGATCAAAACGAATTAAAGTCTCTACTTAACGAAGAAGGTAATATTAATAACAAATTAGAATATGCTTTTGATAAATTCAGGGGTGACATGAATAACATCATCAAAAGTACAGAGAAAAAAATATTAAGGTACCATATTTGTAACTAATTGAGTACAACATTATGATAATTCATTAATTTCTAATGATACATATTTATTGATTAGTACTCAAAATGATTTGCAAAAACAATTTTCAATTCTACTTAAAGAGAAGTCACATATGGAACCATCTATGAAAGACACTGATAATACTGCTACCCAATTTATGATTTTATGTGATATTATAAAACAGGGAGATTATGCACTGGCGTTTGAAAAAGTAAAATATATATTTTTTTTAATTTATTATAGAATATAATATAAATAATAGCATTATGCCGGGTTGCATTAAAAATATTGAATGGTTCAATATAATTGAACGGACCAATCATTGTTTGTATGTAAAAAAAAACCCTATAACTCCAGACTTATCAACAAAATAGATTTAAATTCCTACATTCTTAAAATAGTATTACCAAATAACTTCAGTTTTTTTTAGAGGTAATAAAACTATTCAAAAATCACTATACCTTTAATAGCTTTCATCAAATTCATAATTAAATTTTGTTGTCGGATTAACATAGTTTTTATATAATTTATTTTCTTTTATTAAGTAGTTAATATTATCCTATTATTCATAATTTCTTATATAGTTATATATGAAAGTATTATATTATAATATTGTAATCACTAATTTTATTGATTTTAACCAGCGCACAGCCCGTGCGATCACAGTTTTATATTTACAGGGTGATTTTTTAAGCATACTCACTCTATTTGTGTGCTTAAATTATACATATATTTTGATTTTTAGAATTTTGAAATACACTTAAAGAACTTAATTTGAAATCATGAGATTTTATGTTTAAGGATGAATATATTATAAGACAAAATTCAAAATTTTTCATTTTTAATTATATTATATTATTATTAAAATTTAAATCATGAATTTGATAATTTTATCATGATAATAAATGATAAGGATTAACTTTGATGACCATTCAATATTAGTTTTGTAAATTATTACAAAATAATATACTAAATCAGCATCATTAAATGTATTAAATTTTACTTGAGTTTATTTCACGTCAATACCCTTTTTCTACGACATATAAACATAAGCCAAAACATGGTAATTAACTCCATTCTTTTCATGTGGTATATCAAGTTTTTTTCTTAGTATTTGAGTATTTAGTATTTCTTTATATTTTTTTTTTATAAAATATATTGGACTTACCTTAAAAACAAAAATTTAATTATCTTTAACATGGCAGCATTAGTGTGCTCTTTTATATAATAAGTATAGATTATATTGTAATTTGTAATTATTTTTAAAGAGACTCGATTCAGTCTGTTTTATTCTAAAATATACTTTTATACTACTTCTTATGCCAATCGTATTGACTATTCTAATAATGGGTTAAAATTTCTGAAAATATATTTTAGTTTCTCATGAAGATAACATGAAAATAAGTCTTACAACTTTTTTGAATTTGGACTCTAAAATTCGATTTTATCATTTTGAATACTCAGAATTTTTTTAATGATTAATAATAATATGGAACCTGGTATGTTATTTAAAGTGCTTTTTACACTTCAAATTTCTTGAAACTGTTTTTTTACCATGGAAATTATAAAACATTAGAAAACAATATAAATCCTAAACAAAATTTAGATTCTGAATGGAGCAAAAGAATGTATTGATTTTACAATGATGTGTGTGGTTTTTTTTTTGTCTGTGTGTCACCAAAATTTTGTATTATAAAAGTACTTCAATCTTTGAGAAAAGTTTATCTAGTTCGTACTTTTTAAAGTTAAAATTGAAAATTCCAAGTAGTTTTAGAAATGAATAAGAAAAACAAAAAAAGTGAAAAAGTGGTAATTTTTATGTAAAACCAATTTTTGAAATATTTTATTTTATTTTTTTTTTGAAACTTAAAACCGTAGAACTTTGAAATTTTCACCAAATATTTATACTGGGATTTTAAATTAATTGTAACAATCTCGAAATATTTGTACTCTTTATGAGCTAGTTATTGCTTTGAGACATTTTTAGTAGTTTATAAATATACAATGTTCCTTATAAGTTTCATTAATGTAAGTTCAAAAATATTAAATAAACATAGGCACAATTATTTTTATATGCATTTAAAATTCAAATTTTGACAAAATTCATTACATTTTTCATTTCATAGCTAAGATTAAAAATTGTAATAGAAGATTTCAAATAAGTTTTTCTACCTATAACAAAAAAAAAAAAAAACAGTTTATCTAAACAGGACATTAAATTTTTATGAGCTTTTGAATTTACAATTTTAACTTTATTTGATATTCATATTAAAATTATTGATTTCCTATTAATTGAATAAATTCTAATATTTTGTATATTTCCAAAACGAAAAACTGCAGATTCTTGAACTGTTCACCAAAGATTTATATTAAAACTTTCAAACTATTTTGACTCTTTTTGAGCTATTTATAGCCATGAAAATTTTTTCAAATGTAAATTATTTTCATAGAAATTCATAAAAGTTTTTTCTTTTCATAGCTAACATAAGAAATTTTAATAGAAGGTTTCCAACAAGTTTTTCTACCTCTATTAAAAGTAAAAGTTCACTGGAATGTTATTTATAGTCGAGATATTTTAGAGTTTTTTAAAAAATTTTCTCAACTATTAAATTTGATTATTTATAAAAGTATGACACGTCTCCACTCAGAATCATTATTTATGTACAATGGTTTATTATTTAATTCAATTATAACACTTCAATTACAACGACATGCTCGACTACTACTGTACAGCAGAGCGGTACTCACTTGTCCATTATTATTTATAGTACTGAGTTAAATATAAATATATATACTATTATCTTTTAAAAACATTGTTATTTTCATCTTGGTTTTTACTTAATTTAGGCATTGTCTGCATCAAAATTAGAACTGGTACTTTTTGTTTGTGAAAAAATACAACCGGAACAACTTTTCATTCCACCCAACGCTTTAAAAACTCCTATTGTATTATCCTTGATTCAACAATTATCTCACGATCTGACGAATAATACTGAACTAAAGCACAAGTAAGTCAATGTTTATTTTGTACAATTTATAATTTACATAATCAAAATTGTTTATTATATTATTAACTATATCATATCTTAAAGGTATTTGGAAGCTGCAATTGGAAGTTTGGACTATACCAATGACCACCACAAAGAAAATACAAACTTAGTTTTAATTAAGATGGATTCTAATGTTGAGAAATTCGTCCAACAGTATCCATTGAATCCTTACAGTCGTAGGTTAAAAATGTTACAGTTAGCTATAAAGACAATTATAAGCTATCATTCAGCAAACATCTGAGCAAATGACATTTTGTATTACTTTTAAAAAGAGACTTAAGAAAAATAATGGACTGACCCATAATCATCCATATTATTCATTTAAATCTAATTACTTTTTCTATCTTTTGTTTATATTGCTGCTTTGGTACAAATAACAAACATGTTTTAAATTTTTATTAAAAATAACTTCATAATTTTTTTATATGTGTTCGTATAATTCTAAGATTTGAATGCGAAAATCATATTATATTTTGTTTATTTCAAAATGTTTGTGTATTTTTTTATTAACACTTATAAGTATCATAATAAGTACTTTCATCCTGTGAAAATAATGTTATTTTTTTCGCAGTAATTATTATTAGAATTACTCAAGTGTAGAATTATTTGCTACCTACATCCAGACGCAATACATTGAAAAATATTATTCAAATTAACTATATATTTGGGTATTAGTAATTTTTTGCTTGGGACTAAATCACTGACACATCTTTTTGTGTGGTTGAGTTGGCTTTACTTAAAAAATACTTTCAAAATTAAGTGGTTTTTTAGTCAAAAATAATTATTTATTATTTGTATAATTACATTTAAGATTAAATATTTTTTTTCTTATTTTCTAAATTTATTTCTTCAATTTCCATTGACTGTTGAATCGGTAAAGCAGATATTATTGGCTCATAATTACTAAAATAAGAAATTTATGTGTGATTATATCCAATCAATATATTGTGGTGTATGACTTTGTTGTTCGTGTCATGAATAATAATATGAGGTCTTTGTTTAAAAATTTGATTATTAATTCTAAGACTTGAGGCAAAATTAACATAAAAATCTCCGCTGATAATTATTGATAAATTTGTCTCTTTCTCTATGAATTATGTCGTCCACTTTTTAATTATTTTAAATGTATTTTTTTATTTTTTATTTTAACGGGTAAGAACCCTGTTTTACAATGTGTTATCTATAATTTATATTATCTGGTTAAACTTATAGTATTTAGAACATAATATAATATGGCGTAGGTAAATACAGTAGACATATAAAATTTATATGTAAGAGATTTATATGATGTACATTTAATTTAATAGTAGGTAATTAAAAAAATAATTTTATTACAATCAAATATGAATATTGCCCACGGCTAAAAATATATAATGTTTAAAAACAATATCATAGAGAAACATGAGATCATTAACTCTCAATCATAATTTCTCCTTAGCTCACACAATGCTATTCCAAGTAGAGAAGCTTGTAAGTTGTGAGAACCTCTAGAGATCGGCAAATTCAATTTAAATTTAGAACTAATTAGGGAAAAGTATAATATATTTATGGGTTTTATATTTCGTTGAAGACACGGCAATACACCATACCTCGATTTTAGCTATTGTTCAGGAGAGACTGAAAACTGATTTATTGCAACATATTTTAGTATTATCCAACACAAATCTTATAATCATAGTATTTTACATCAAAAAGTGATTACAGCATTCAGGTACGGCCGCAGAGATGTATCTCACTAGGTGCAAAATATTTTTAGTCTCAATATAAGCAGCGGGGGGCTTCGCCCCCCACACCCCCTACACCAATTAAATAATATATATTCTTTATCATCAATGATGGGTATAACAAAATATATTTAAAACATAACTCATTTTATTTATTACTTTTAATCAAAATGTATATTCTTGTTTACATTATATACTAATACTCTATTAATCATTGAAAAGCAATGCCAACCGCCTAGAAGTCAATCCGAACTTTTCAATAATACCTTCTAATTACTGTTCAAAAAATTCCTTATTTTCGTACCTTTATCGATGAATATTAATCAGACCTAAACTACTTAACCTTTCATTTCCCATTCTGTTTCGCAGCCATGTCTTTAAACGACGTAATGTGCTAAAATATAATGACAATAAAATAATATACCAAATAAAAAATGAGAAATATAATATAGAAAATATTACCTGAAAGATCTTTCTACTGAACATGAAGTTACAGGTAAACTAATTACAATTTGTATAGCCATACATACAGCTGGGTAAAATTGTTCAGAATCAAGAATATCAATCAGTTCCATGTCATTTTCGAGTGGTTTATCTTGCCATAATTCATATCACGATAAGGCTTGTTCTTCAAAATTGTCTAGAAGAGATCCATACATTTCACTGATAACTTCAAGTGCCTTCATGAATCCTTGACATTCCATAAGCTTAATTTTTTTGGGATGTAGGTCAAGTAATGCAAACATTTTTAATTTTTTATCAGAGAATCGATCTTTTATAGACATAATAATTGAATCAATATATGGAATAAATAAAGATAATAAAGTCCTGTACATTATTAGCTGGGTAATTTTCGCGATGTGTGTGTCGTGCGTTTCGTCGTGGTAGAGTCAACTCCAGATCTATTTTGGATGCAATGTCTATTGTATTGCTTTTTCAAATATTGCACCAAATTGAGTCTCACAGTCATAAACAATATTTTTGTAACATAGTTAAGAGGTCTTGAATGTGTCGAGTGGTTCGTTGCAAATCAACATTAATTCCTTGTAATACTGTTGAAAAAATTTCAAATTTTGCAGAATACTTTGAAATTATTGATAGTATAACTACAAAAGTGGGAGTAGTTATTGCAGCTAAAAGTTCGTAGCTACGCTACTTTATCTTACAATTTAAATGGTTTGATTTCGATATTTCTTCTAAACCTTCTACAATTGTTACAAATCATTCATAAAACTGTCTGACACTTTTATGTTTTTCCACAAATTGTGTTTCACATAACTTAGTTAACACACTACCTCCAATAATATCCAGCACTATCTCTAAAAAATGTGATCGTTTCTTTGATTTTTCCAATACAGTTTCTAACTTTTGTCACAGCTTAAATCATTTATAACCAAATTTAAACGATGACTTGCACAATGAAAAAAATGTGCCATTTTGTACACATCATTTATTCTTTTTTGTACTCCTGATATATACCCTGTCGTTGTTGCACATCCATCATAACCTTGATCAACACATTTATTCATATCAATATCAATGTTACTACATGCCATCAAATTCAAGTAAAGGAAAAAATCCTAAACATTTTTCATGAACCAATTTATCCTTCAAGTACCTTACTAGTGTTTGAAGTATGAGAAATATTTCATGAAATATTTCAAATGAAATATTTCATTTTGAAATATTTCACTAAGTTGTGAAATATTTCACAAAAACGTGAAACATTGAAATTTTTTTAACACAAATAAAAACACAATTTATTTATTTTTTTAACAAAATGTTCAGTGTTCTAAATTCTAATGTCAGAACTCAGTAAGTATACAATATACATGTATAATATTGTATACCTACTTGTATCATTTAAACATTAAAATATTTAAAAATTTTGAATACCAATTTAAATGTATAATACCAAAGGTTAGGTATACATACAGGTATTATATAGTGATGAAGGTAATTTATGACAATTATATGTAAATATAAAACTTATTTAAAAATAAAACAAAATATATTAAAATACTGAAATATTTCACATATTTTGAAATATTTCATGAAATATTTCACGAAATATTTCATTTTTTTAAATTTCATGAAATTTTCAAACACTATACCTTACACATATCGATAGTTGCTCAACACCACTAATATCAACTGTTTCATCAGCTATAATTGAAAAGCAAAAAGCTTGTCTAACTTAATTGGTGATAACTGACCTTTATGTAGATGATGCACATTCTGTTGGTTCATTTTGTACACAGTGAGATATATATATGGCGTTTTTAGAAGATTTTTCTAAATGGCTTTTCAAAACTAATTCGCCAGCGTCAATCCTGAATTCTAGTAGATTATTAAATTGAGCAGTATTGTCATTATCTCTACGAATAGGCAAGTTATGTAATGCATAGAATAAAAGTGAAGTTACAATTGGCTTTAATTTATTTCTATTTTCAGTTATTTTGTTTTTATAATGAGAATCTAATATCTGATCTACACCACTATTTCTTTCCATTATGTCCATAAAATCTTTAGACTGTTATACAAGATTCAATGTGCCAATCATTTTTTTCATGTTGTTTAGCTTTTTCAAGAAATTTATGAAAATTCACTAATGAATTGGTTATAAAAGATCCTTGATATGATCCATGTTTTACATGTGCTCGGAAAAGAACACAGTGAACACATAAAGCCTATTTTAATACTCTTGAGTACACTAACCAAGGAAATTTAGAAAACCATTTAAACATAAATGGGCGTTTATCAATTTGTACATCATTTTTAAAATTGTAGTATTTAATATAAATTAATATAAATATTTATAAAAATTGACAAAATATGGAAAAATCACGAAAATCAGCAAATTATTTTGAGTTAAGAATTCGTAAAAATTTTTCTTTTTAAATCTAAGATTTTAAAATGTAATACAAGATTCATTATAAGATTATCTACCTTTATCAACAAAAAAAATTTCTACCGGGAAGTCAAATTAAATTTTTATGAGCTTTTAAAGTTCATATTTTTACAACATTGGATATTCACTCGATTTCTCATAACCTAACCGATTTCCTTATTTTTTGTAATTCAAAAACGAATAACTGTAGATACATGAAAATTTCACTGAATGTTCATATTAGCATTTTCTATACACTGTACAATTTTGAAAATATTTTGACTTTTTTTGATCTGTTTACAGACATTTTCAGTTTTCAATTTTTTTAGTTTTTTTTTCTATAAATATCAATAAAGTTTTATCTGTTGGTCCAAAAAGTGTAAAAAATTAATACAAGGGTCCTGATAGATTGTTACAATAGCAATTGAAAAATTTTAAAAATACATAGGCACAATTTTTTTTTAAAAGCATTTAATGATCGAATTTTGACAAAATTTATCAAAATCTCGAAAATTATCAATCATTGTAATTAATAAATTATAAAATGTTCAGTTTTCATAGCTAAGGATTGCAAATTTAAAACAAAGGTTCTCATAAATAGTTCATACTGTAACCAAAAAATCCAAAAAATATATGAACACAGTTATTTTTTACAGACATTTTAAATTCAAATTTGGACGAAATTACATAATAAAAAACCTAGAATAACTATTTTAGTTATTTTGTTGTGATTGTATAATATTTTTCGTGGGTACTTGAAACTTCTAAAGTATACTACTATATATCTATGATAGTATCAGGGTTTGTTGTTGGTGTATTACGCGTTATAAGTACCTAATGGATATTGTGATATGATTAATTTGGAATTCATTATAGGTCAATTTTTTTTAATACCATAGATAATTATATAATATGTCTTATACCTAGAAGGTTTTTCTTATACAATGATATAATATCATTGAATTCAAATGTAATACAATCCATTATATAGTGATCCTCTTGAACCTACTGTACAGCAGAGCGACATCCACTTGCCCACCTTTTTATTATTTACTTTGTTTTGTTTTTTTTTTTTTTAACATTATTTATTATTTTATTGCAAATGTGGTACTTACCTAATATAATAATTGTAATGGATATCTTTATATATTATAAAGAATTTTCATAATCTATTAGTATAATAGCTTGAATTTTTAATTTACTTAAATAATTAAAACATTTTAACTGTTTAACGATGAAATGGCTACGTCAAAATAACAAAAACAAGTTGTCCCGGATCAATTTTTAGAGTTGGCCAAACTACTAACTTTGGCCCCCCAATAAAAACCTCCTCGGTACGCCCCTGCTTGTCTACCTGAACTATTGCCCCCATAATATTGGTATGCATCTGACTCAGACTTAATTTCAGTCTCTTCGTCCTTAGCAACCTGGATACTGGATAGCTAATTCTAAAGTGGGTGGTTTTTGAGATTTCACGATGGTCTTTAAGCTAGGTATTAACCCTTTTATAAAAACTACCAATGTCTGTTCCTTTAACTGATCGCGGATTGTATTTGCCTGTTCTGTACTTTTACCTTTTGTGCTTGCTACACATAGATTGAAGTATAACTGTTCTACACGTCTTGCATATGCACCTACATCTTCGTTACCTCGCATACGTACTGAATTTAATGCTACCTGCAATGACGAAGTGGATTGTTGAGGTTCGAAAGCGTCTAATAAAATTAATTTTATACCTTCCCAATCGCTAGTGTCCCTATATCGACACACATTCAAAGCTTGGTCAAATAGCTTGGTATTAATAAATTTCGTGAGTATGGGTAGGTCTTCTTTCTCTACTGCTGAACATGCTAAATCGCAAGCCTTTATGAATTGGTAAACGTCCCGTTCGCCGGTACATGTAGGAATCATGGCTTTGTCTAATGGAATCTTTCCTGGAATTTTGGTTTTTTTTGTTTCGTTTAACGGGTTCTAACTGCGTATGTATTATCCCTTTCTGCGTACGAGTAGGTACTCGTCCCTATCTGTCGACCTATCTATCGACCTATCTGTCGCAGCTCAGTCTCGTTTACTTTTATCGGTCGTATGCTTGTATTCAATAAATCCTTTTCTAATAGCTTCTAAATATTTTTCCCTATCGAAATCTTTGGAATATTGATACCTTCTTCTGTACTTAAATCAATTAATAATTCCTTATCGTCAACTACTGCTGTTTCTTTAGTTAATTCGCTATACTTATTATTAATAATATCAGATTTAATTAATACGACTTCTCTAACTTCCTGGTCTACTACTTGTATGCTTTCAGTTTCGCTTTCTATTAAACTAGTATTGGTTTCTTTTTGACTCATTAATCAATAGTCATAAACAAGTAATTAAAATTAAATAATCAGATTTAAAATAAATATGGAATTAAGATTTAATTTACACACTAGCGTAAAATAATTTAATCTTACGTAAATAATTATTTCGTTAATAAAATATCAAATAAATAAATAACTAAACTACCAATTAAATAATAATAGTATAATTATTTCCTATTACCTATTAAAAAAAAAATTTTTTTTACATAAATTCAATTAACCAGTCATACGACTTCTATACTTGAATAGTAACTCTTACTAACTGTATTAATTGAATTAATTCTATATATTTTTTTTTCAAACTATTCTTTTCAACACGTAA